TCAATGCAGTAAAAAGAGTCAAATAACAAGTCAAACAATCTGGCTGATCCCAAGTCCACAGGTGAGGTGACAGACAACATGAAAGGGGAGTGAAGGAATAGAAATGGCAGGCAGATCCCAGTACCCTCTCTCCTAGGAGACCTCACAACTTCTCTGTTGCTTTCATCACTACACCTTCAAGAGATGGTTTTCATAAGTTCTTCTGCTTTCATTCTGTCCACTGTTCAAATCTTATAATGCCACCTTATCTGTTCCTCTTGTACAATTATCCTGCAACAAAAGAATCACATTCAGGGCATTGGTGGCCAGAACAACTGGTAGAAGACTCCTGTTAAATTCAAGTCTTCCTTGTTCTCCTCTTGACTTTTACAGTAAATGTCCAAACAACTGTCAATACCTCCTATGTGGTTTCTAGAGGCCACGCATGGCTGAGTTGGATCTGCCTATAGGTTAACGTATCTGTTTTCTTAAGTCATGACTTCTACTTATATCTCTCAGAGACAAGTGTTTCCTGCCTCATGGCCACCATCTTACATAGATCACTAGGGTAGAGCCCATTAATAACAGGAACTATTTTATTATTTAAAATTTCATGACAAACATCTAACTGCCCAGAACATAGTAAGTTCTAGATGCCAAATACATGTTTCTTGACTGATTGAATGACGTTTTCTTCAGTTACTTTAGCTTTAAAGAAATCAGTTTTCAATGGCTTTCTTCTCCAGCTCCATTAGCAGCCTTCACACTGAAATAATTAGCTATTGCCTTGGGTCTTGGGAAGGAGAAACAACTTCCCGACCCCGGCTATTAATTTAGGAGGATTCATATTAGATACAGAATTAGTGTCATGCTTGATTCAGCGTTTCATGTCTTGAAACATGCCTCAGGCCACATCTGAATGCACCAAAATGCAACAGGAATTCTAGAGCTGTGCTGAATCTTGGTCATGGCCATCAGCAGAGGAGAGCATACAAAGTACATAATGTCATGCTAGACACTGTGAGGGTGAACAGAGAAGGAAGAAAGCCACTACAGTTGTCCCTACCTTTTCCCCTAATATATTCCCAATCCCTATTCACCCATCCACCTTAAATCATTTTAATTTGTACTATCACCCAATGCACACACATACATACACACTTTCCCCAATTGCCCAACTATATACTAATCTATCTTGACTAAAGTGTGAAAAAAATTTTCTTCTAATTAAGTCAAACTAATGTGAAAGTTTTTAAAGGAAAACGTTATGGGAAAGAACTAAGAGAACACAAAACAAAACAAAGAGTGTAGAAACAGATGAATTTCACAGAAACATATGTATATGAGCCAAATTTAACTCAGTTTAGTACATTTAACAGGTTAGATTGGCTGGCCCCAATTTCCTTCACTTCATGAGGAGGGAATCCTTCCAACACCGACCATATTTGCACATCAATAGTAATTTCCATGACTAGGCCTCACTCAGTGATGCAGGCACCCCTGTCAATGCTCCCTCCAGAAGATGATTTGCAATGGCTGCATGTCCTCCCATCAAAAACAAAACAAAACAACAACAACAAAAAACACTGAAAACAAAACAAAAATAAAGTACACATTTTTGTAACTCCATTCACCACCAAACTTCTTGAAAAACAAAACTAAACTCATTGCCTTCCCTCCATTTGACCCCCTGCCAGTCATCTTTATCCCACTGCACTTTGCCTCCTGCCTCTAGCACTTCTCTAGAGCTGTTCCCAGAAGGTCTGAAGCAACCTCCTGATTGCCAAACCCAATTCCCAGTTCTCTAGACTTGTTGTTTGACCCTGTTGGCCAACTCTTCATTCTTGGACCTCTTTTCCCTCGGTTTCTGTAATCCTTCTGGTTAAAATCCTACCAGATAATGTTTGTGTTTGTTAGTTTCAAAATTGACTTGAAATGGCTGATAAATAATATGAGTTTCTATTACATGCTCTCTTTCTACCACTCTGGTCATTCTCTTTGTTTCTTTCTCTGTCTCTCTTTCCGTCTGTCTCTCTCCCTGGTAGTAACTTTGTGTTTACCTATTTCTTAGATGTAGTTATTTATTCTGCCTCTATCTGCATCAGTTCCCCACTTCTCCCACAAAATTTCTTCTACTTCTGTAGCTCCAACTGTCACTTAATGAGCAGAAGCTTTCTTAACTGACCTCATAAACCCTTTATTCTTGCTCCTGTTTCCCACTGTCTGCTGTCTACTGCTACATTCCCTGATGGGCTTTACCATTGCCCTGGAGGGTTAAGTGGAGAGGGCACTCTACACACCCCTTCTGCAGCCACAGGTCTTTGCATTTTAAAAGTTTACTGACTCTTTAATGCATACTTTGAATTATACCACTTTGATCTCCTCAGTCAGTATTCATCAGTCTTTCCTATAAACCATCCTGACCCTGCATTACCCTTGTCTTTTAAGATCTCTCATAGTATGTCATGCAAATTACTAGATTATAAACTCTCTGAGGATGGAAATCAATCTTGAATACTTGTATTTGCTTAGTACAGTGCCTTGCATTAATTCATTCACAGGTTCACTTAGTTTTAACAAGGAGTATTCATTGATCACCTATTCATGCTAGACACATTTTGGGCATTGGAAGTACAGTGGTGGGTAAGACAGATACAGTCCCTACCCTCAAGAGACTAGTTCAAGAAAACAGCCATATAAAGGAAACAGGCTAATTGCAGAGAGTAGCAAGTACTATGAAGAAAAGAATGTAATGAGATAGAGACTGCTGGGGCTAACTTTATACATGAAATTCAGGAAGGCTTTCTGACATCTGAGCTGAGATCTGAGTAGGAACAAGCAAGCCACACACACACACACACACACACACACACAAATCCTGAGAAATAACATTCCAGATAAAGGGAATAACAAGATTAGAACAGAGAGGTAAGGAGGAGGGAGATTGTGTAGGACTGTGTAGTCCTTGAAAAGGATTTTGGATTTATTTTTAATTCAGTGGGAAAATATGAGGGTATTAATCAGAAAAGTGATGTGAATTCCAGTTTTAAAGTTCAGATTTATTTTTAATAAAATGGGAAAATATAGGAGGATACATATCAGAGAAGTGATGTGATCTGAATTCCAGTTCTGGTTACTATGTGAGGAGCAAACTGAAGAGTGGACATAGGAGATTAGGTAAGAGGTGACACAGGAGCCCAGGTGAGGAACAATAGTGATTTGTATTAGTTTGGGACTTAGGAGATGGTGGAAATGGTTATATTTGTGATAGATTTTAGAGTTTGCTCTAACAGGATTTGAGTTAAACAAGATGGGGACTGAGAGAGTTATCACACAGTAGTTACTTAATAAAGGTTTGTTGATTGCCTCATGGCTGATGACTTCAGGTACTTCCAAGGTAAGTGATCTTCTAAGATCCTATAAGTATTGTTTAACAATACAAAAAAAAAAATGTTTGCCAGAAATATATATATGATTCCTACCAAGGGAAAAAGTGGTATTTCAATTCCAGCCTAAGTCCAAATGCCACAACCCCTACCCCCATTCCCACCACATATTTCTATATTTCTCAGGAAAATAATTAAGCATTTTTAAGTGGATTTAAAGGAAATGTAGAATGAAATCTGTGAATATGTATGTGTAGAGTTATCTGCCTTTGTCTTTGGGCAGGTCTTTTTATGTTTCTAAGCACACAAAAGACCTCAGACTCTTTAAATGAATTGACAGTTTAACCTGAATCATTTAAAGGATCATTTGAAGATGATAAGAAGAAACTTCGCTTTGACCAGCTCATAAATGCACTTTTAGTAGTTCTTTAAAGTTGTGAGAGTTTTCTCTACAAATGAACAATTTTTATGTAAGTTATTTTAAGAATCTCCTAAATGGCTCCCAGCATGTCTGTTGTCTCAAGGATAAAATAAAAATGCTTAGAGGGAAAACTTTAGTGACTTGAAAAAACACTTAAATAAGAGTTCAATTTGTAGTAGTTTTCAAAGCTCACCAGGCCTACAAATATGCTTCTGACCAAGTTTGCACTGACTCTTCCTGCAGTAACTAAGCATGCCTCTGCTCTCTTAGGCACCTTCAATTCCAATGATGTATATATGTATCTAAGTATGTATGTATGTATCTGTCTAATGGACTTTTTGGAGTTTTTTAAAAAACAATTTTAGATTTACAAAAGAATTGCAAAATTTTACAGAATTTCTCTATACCATTCCCCCAGTTTTCTCTAATGTTTACATTTTACATAACCATAGAATATTTATGAAAACTAAGGAATTAATCTTGGTATGATTAACTAATAAACAGAGCTAATTCAGATTTTACCAGTTTTTTTTTTTTTCCATTGACTCTCCTTTGTCTATACCGTGGGATCCTAAATTATGCTTAAGTCAGCAAAACTCCAGCCCCACAGGCCAAATCTGGCCCACTTTCTGGTTTTGTAAATAAAGTTTTTATTGGAATACAGCCATGATCATTTATTTCCTTATTATCGCTGTCTACTTTTACACTAAAATGATGGTGATGAATAGATGTAACAAAGACTATATGGCCTACAAAGCCTAAAATATTTACTATCTGTCTCTTTACAAAAATATTTGCTCACCCCTGATTTAGATGTAATGTCTCCTGGTCTCCTCCAATCTATGACAGTTCCTTAGTCTTCTCTTATGTTGCATGACCTCGACACCTTTGAAGAGTACTGGTCAATTCTTTTGAAGAATATTCCTCAACTTGGGTTTGTCTAATGTTTCTTATAATTACCTTAAGGCTATGTATAATTGGGAAGGCTACCATAGGAGTGATGTGCCCTTCTCAGGGTTTCTTATCAGGAATCATGGTAGCTATTAATACTAGGGATGTTAACCTTGATCATCTGGCTAAGGTGTTAACTCACAAAATAGTAATTTTCCTTTGTAATTACTAAATATTTTGAAAGAGATATTTTGAGATTATGCAAAAAACCTGAGGTTTTTTTTTTTACTTAATAAGAGTTTTATTTTTATCCCATTTTATAGGTTGAAGAATGCCTCATCTGATATAAAACAAATGGTTAAAAGTGAAACACACTTGGATATTACTGCTGATCTCAGAAAGAAACTCCATGGGGCTAAGAAAGAAAAATTAGAAATAACAACTAAGCACAATGCAGAGGTAGAATTTATTTTCTTCTCAAATAATGTTAAAAGTAGGGTTTGATTATTTTAGATTCATTTCATATTAGAAAATCCTTGTTTTAACATTTATCACTATAACATTCTTGTGTTTAAAAAGGGAATTATAATAAAACAGATGGTTTTTAAAATACAGTGGAATTGTATAGGAGTATTAAATTAGAAATTTAATCAACTATTATGTTTTTTGGTATGTTGTCTTAATTTTATTTTAATTAGTGTTATACTTGATCAGAAGTGTTAATTGATGAATGCATTTGGTGACTAAGGGATTTGTAAATTAGACATTTTGGACAAAAATCCTGTTTTGATTAAACTTTAGCCAATAGACTTAAGCAAACATAATGGACTTGCCAACAGCAATTCTTAGTATGATATTCTAATGGTGATTTTTAAAATTTCCTTCATTCCTTTTACATGTATTAATTGTACTTCTTATGTAAGGAAGAGTTGTCACTTCTAGGTCATTTATTTATTTATATATATATATTAGTATGAACTCATGGATATATATTTTATTTTATTTATTTTGTTCTTTGGGTTATAATTTTTTTTTACTCAAGCTGTTCTAAATTTGCCCATTGGGAACTTTGTTAGAATTCTAAAACTGTGCCCTTTTGATATGCCGCGATTCTTTTGCATGTGTGTGTGCGCACTTCGTTTATTTCAGATACCACAAGATGCTCAAGCTAATCTTGTGTTTTCCCTGACTCAGTCCTGGACTAAACCAGTTTTCCAAGGAGTTCTGGTTGCTTTTACTGGAGAATGACATTTAGAAAATAAGTTCCGGGTGTTAGCTGTGCTCATTGCTACTGGGATATCACTATTTTAGCCACTCTCAGTGGATAAAGATAATATATTAACTCATTTATTTATTTACTTACTTATCTATATACATATTTAAAAACAAACATGAGTCCATTTTGATGCCTCTGACACCAATCCACCTCTATAGGGTTTATTCTACTTTCTTCCTCTCCTCATTTGTAACTTCTTTCTCTGAAAGTGAGAAACCTGGCTCTTATTATCTATAACATATACACTTAATTATCAACTGTAGTATAAAAAAAAGTAGTTTCAGAATTCCCATCCATATCCTTGTGAGAAATAAATTTTCCACCTGTAGTGAAATGTTTGTATACACTTATCTTTAGACTTACAGTGTTCAGTCAAAACACTGTTCCCCAAAATTATTTTGGTCAGCTCCTTTCCTTCCATCTCTTTCTTTTGGTTCTGTGATTCATCTGTTGTATTTTGTTGGTTAGAAGCAAGTCACAGGGCTTCCCTGGTGGTGCAGTGGTTGGGAATCTGCCTGCCAGTGCAGGGGACATGGGTTCAAGCCCTGGTCCAGGAAGATTCCACATGCCCCAGAGCAACTAAGCCTGGGTGCCACAACTACTGAGCCTGTGCTCTAGAGCTTGTGAGCTACAACTACTGAGCCCACGAGCCACAATTACTGCAGCCCACATGCCTAGAGCCCTGCTCCACAACAAGAGAAGCCAGGACAATGAGAAGCCCACGCACCGCAGCGAAGAGTAGCCCCTGCTCGCCTCAACTAGAGAAAGCCCGCGCACAGCGATAAAGACCTAACACAGCCAAATATAAAAACAAATAAATAAATCAATTAAAAAGAAAAAAAGAAGCAAGTCACAGTCCCCACCTCTAGGGAATAAGACGCCCAAGGACAGAGTGTTTCTTGTGGATTCCTCTAGTTTCCATCCAAACACTTAGAACTAATAGCTCCACAGATTTTATTATTAGGTCATGCTTGTGTTTCATTGGTTAATCTTTTTTTTAGAAATTTATTCAGCTTGATAATAGAAAATCAAAATGACTGCACTGTAGCATGGACATCCAGTCATTTCAACTCTTTTGACAACTGAGGCATTTCCCTAGACAATTGCCTTGACTCGGCTAAAACTGACTCAGGCACTTCCATGCAGACAAAGCCCAGGAGGCCATAAGTGTCCTCCTGTAGCAGATAAACTCTGCTAGTTTATCTATCTATCTTTCCTTTAATACCAATTCCTCCTCAGGTCAAACCGAGAGAAAATAGAAGGCAGGTGTTCTAAGAACAACTGTCTGATTTTTATGCAGCTTACATTTTTTTCCTGGACCCCATTTGCTTCACTTAGGTATTGGATACATGAACTAAAACTAATTTTTTGTAGTCATAATATATAAGCTAGGACCATGATGAAGTTTAATATGCATACTTTCCACATTATACTTTAGGATAGATGTGGCTGTCCCTAAATTTGTTTGTCTCTCCCAGTCCTTATGGGAAAACATATGCAAAGCATTTGGGGATTATTGCCAAGTAGAACTGGGACCCTGCTTGAATGAAATGAAGAACAAATCCCCTAAGAGAAGGCAATAGGCTCACCGTGAACTGAGCAGACCAAGGAATCATGCCTTGCCTTGGGGTGGAACAGAAGAGGGAGGAGGTTTATTTGCCCATTAAACCCGAAGTGGGTTTAAATGATTTAGGGGAAGCTATTGAACATCAAGTCTGCCATTAGATAAAAAGCGTCACTGCTACAATTTGCTGCATAGAGACCTTGTAAGCATAACTCTGAGAGGTCCACTCACTCACTGATTTCACACCAGGCCCGTGACCAACTCTGGGTTCAGCCCTGCACTTTGAAGGGTATGAAAGAAATGTAAGAGAAGACCCTGCCATCAAAGGACTTTGGAGACTCACCATCTACTTTCTTCATGGTCTGCCACCATATGGTGATAAGGAATAACCTTGATTAGAAGGCACAGCCTCTGTGAAAGACCAGCAGGGTTAACTGTAAGTAGAGTCTGAATCTTTGCATATTTTTAAAGTGGGATATACATGGAAATTAAGGTAAGTCAGTGCTGCTTAGGACAGTCAAGATGGCTGAAGCAAAGAAAGAAAAGAAATACAGACAGACCCTTCAACTGCTGACAGTTTTTGAAGGTATATGAACCAAACAGCACATGAACAAAAAGAGCCCTTACGTTCTACTTTCAAGTAGAAGCAAATCTGGCACTGAAGTTGAGGCAAGCGAAAATTTCCTAAGATCAAACAGCTGAAAAAGTGGCACTGGAACGAGAGGCACTCTTTGAGTGTTTTTTAATGTATTTTCAGCTGTTTGAATTCCCGATTGGAATGAAAGACACAAGAGTGAAAAATCTTAGAGCTGCAAAAATGCTAAAAGGAGAAAGGAATAATCGGCTGCTGCCATCTTCGTCCTTAGCATCGCTCACATGGACTCCTACAACTGCCAACTACCTGTACTGTCCATTTTCGCTATTGCAACAATTCACCCTTCATACAGCCTTCAAAACAATCCTTTAAAAAGGTACATTTCTCCCTGCTAACAAACTTGCAAATGGCTTTCCATTACACTTTAATGGCGTGTCTTCTTCATCTTCATCTAATTCCATGGCTGTCCTTTCTCACTATGGTCCAGTCACACTGGACTTTTTTACTGTTCTCAGAACACCAAAAGCTTTTTGCTTTACAATTCCTTCTGTGTGTACCGTTCTCTCTTCAACTCTTCATACCTGCTCATCTTTTAGCTTAAGTGTTATTTCCAGAGGGAAGGTTTCCTTGCCCAGACTCTAAGTAGCCTCCTCAGGGTACTCTGTACCATAACACCCCATTTATTGACTCATAGAAAAGATTCCAAATTGTAATTATTTAATTTATACATTTTTATATTACATTGTTATCTTTCTCCTCCATTAACCAATGGAGACGTGCTGCCCAACAGAAGCTGTGACATTTGGTAGAGGAATGCAGCCTCTGTCCCAGCTGAGGCCTGGTAGAAAGGGAACAGGGTGAGTAAATACACCACCACCACCACCACCCCACTCCTCATTCCTTCTGATCTTTTACTGGTTCCTTTTGACAGCCAGACCAGGGGGCAAGAGAAACTGGACAATGCAGTCTATAGAGGTTGGCTTTCTGAGACACATAGTAGGACAGGGAAGGGCTGAGGGACAAATGGAGCTGAAGGGCAAATGGAGACTACCCAGCACATAGATTGAAAATAGAACAAAGTGAGTTTAATGGGAATTCAAGAAGAAATGTATAGAGCATACTGTGCAAAGTCTGTGATCAAAGAAACAACAGGAAAATAAAATATTTCCTGAACTGAAGAAGGATTTGAGTCTATGGATCAAAATACTCATCAAAGAACAGAAATGCAAGGGCTTTAAAAAATGTGCTATCCAGATACCATCCCTTAAAACATTACTTAAAAATATGCTAGAGCTATCCAAGAGAGGAAACTAAATAAAGAACTCAAGAATGAGGAAAATAAATGAACTGTGGATAAACATTAAAACTCACAAACCAGAGACTTTAAAAGTATCAATAAGTCATTTTTAAATGTTCAAAAATTCCAATGCAAATATGAAAAATAAACTTGTAAAACATAAGAATCTTATCAAATAGATTCTCAATTTGAATAATAGATGATGTCAATAAAACTGAGAAATTGAGAGAGGAAGAAAAGAGGAAAATTATTTTACAAATGTGTCAATGGAAACCATTGCATTCTTAGTATTCATAATCACAGAAAAATAGATCTAATTTTTCTAATAAAAATAATTCCAAAGAGTGTATCTTAGAAATCAATTGAATAAAAAGAAAAAACAAAACATAATCAAATACCAGAGTAAAAAATAACCTCTAAGAAGCATTAATGCAGAAAGACATACATAATCCTAAGCAAAACTGGGTTGACACTCTCTATTGAAAAACAAAGACTAATGAATTTGTCAGATTCCATCTTATGGTCTTTGAAAAGAAAGGCTTAAAAGTGTAACATAAAGATTTAAATTAAAAAGATATCTTTAGGTAAGTGTAAAAAAATAAGCAAAAAACAGTGACCATTTTATTATAAGAAACAACCTAGAATTCAAGCCTAAAAGGACTGGATTAAGTGAAGAAAGGTCAACACTTTATATTGATTCAAGGTATCCCAAAGCAGAGATTATAATCATGAAACTTTGTGGAGCAAATATCAGGTCATTGGAATATACAAAGAAGTGATTGGAAAAGAGAAGTCCTTGAAAAAATACTTTAGTGGGAGACTTAAGCAGACCACTTCGAAATACAAAGAAAAAATGACATACCTGATTTAAACAATATAAGTACTAAAGATGTTCTATAAATTAGATTAAATGCTGTAATTTGAGAATACATGTTAGAGTAAACATTATTTCCTAGTCAAAAAAAGAATTGACAACGTTAATACTAGTTAGCTAATATGAGTTTAGTTCCGTTTCAGGCCAGCCATCATGCCAAGGTTTTTTTGGCATCTATCATCTCATTTAATCCCCACAATAATACAATGAGATAGACATTATTAAACCTATTTAAAGAGGCAGAAACTGAAGCTTAAAGAACTTATCTAATCTGTGTACCCAAAATCACTATTGTAGTGGGAAAAACAGAATTCTAACTCCAGCATGTGTGACTCAGAGCTTCCTCCTAACCACTTTAATATACGCTTTCCCAGAATATTTCATTCTAATTAGAAGAAGCTGATCAGGGCATATTCTCTGAGCACAAAGCAATAAAATTAGAAATTAAACTTCAATGAAAGATAGTTTTAAAAGCTCTCTTAATTAATCTGTTTGGGTCAAAAAGAAGCCCAGAACAAGCTAATGACTCTGAAAACACTACATTAAAATAATATATGAGAAGTCCCCAATAAATTTATAGCCTTAAATTATTTTATTCTTAAAAACAAGAGAAAAAAATGAATTATGCACTTAATTCCAGAATTTAGGAGGAGGAGGAGAAGCAGAAGGGGAGTGCAAAAAACATACCTAAGGGCAGAAATTAATTAATTAGAAAATCGTTTTTTAAAGTGAGAGATAATCGATGTGAAAATGCAAGTGCTGCATACACACACACAATGAAACAAACTTTTCAGGAAACAAAGTTTAAACTTACTACGTGATACACTCTGATGTTTCCAGTTTCTTTAACAGCTTTGTTGAGGTATAATCGATAAATAATAAACTACACATATTTAAAGTATACAGTTTAATACGTTTTGAAATATGGGTACACTTGTGGAGCCGTCAACAGAATCAAGAGAATGAAAATATCCAATACTATCTAAAGTTTTCTCGTGCCCTTTTGTTATCCCTTCCTCTCCCTGGTCATCCTTCCCCCCATCCACAGAAAACCACTGACACGCTTTCTGCCACAACAGGTTAGTTTTCATTTTCTAAAATTTTCTAAACATGGACTCATGAAGGATGCACTTTTTGGCCTGGCTTCTTTCACTGCTTATGTAACCATTCTGAGAGTTATCTGTGTTGTTGTATGTGTCAGTAGTTCAATCTTTTTTTGTTAATATTCCATTGTACAGATATACCACAATTTGTGTATTCATTAACATGCTGGTATGGATTTGGGTTGTTTCCAGTTTGAGTCAATTACAAATAATGGATGACAACTGGGAGGGGAATTGGACTCAAGAACAGTTTTTCTCCTTAATATAATAATTGTGACTATATGTCAGGAATAAATCAGGAGAGAGCAAAAATTAATAGCAGGAGAGAAGGGAGACAGCAATGTCCTGAGTGAGGTGACATGGAATCTTGTGCACAAGAAGGGAGTCTGGCCTTAGTAGGAGTGGAAAATTGATTGATCATGACAGGTGTACGTGGACAGTTGCTGGAAGGTGGGTAGGTGTGGTGGCAGCGGTGGTGGAGGGTGGGTCTGTGGTAGCTTTCCTCTGATTACTTCAATTTTCTTGGTGAATTAAGAAGCAAGGTCACAGCTAAAAGAGAGGTTGGAGAAGAGGAGTTGGAGGTTTGAGAGGAGATGAGAGATATGAAATAATCATCTGAAATTGTATGCCCTGGTATATAATTGGTAAGTCATTCTGAATGGGCTCAGATAGGTAGGATAGTAGCATTAGTCAGAAAATTAAACAGCTACAACTTAAGCATTATTCACCCAGAAAAATACGGGCATGCCTGAAGTCATTGCTCCCAAAACTCAAACCCTGACAGTTCTCCTTTATGACTTAACATCAAGACACTGAGTTACACCTGTTCTCTGTGCTTCTCTTTCATTACAACACTTCACTTTGGGGTTGAGAATTGTTAAGCCAATTTCCTTTTAGCCGCTTGCCATTTTGCTATTAGTTACTGTTTAACAAGAGCCGTATCAGTCATGCCGCACCTCCAGGGACGGGGTGGATATGTGCGTTTCTGGCAAGATAGGAGTTTGTTTCTTCTGTTTCCTTTTAATTCTTTGTTTCAACCAGGAAAACAAAAACAAAAAAATGAAAACCTAGGTTTCTCTGCTTCATTTTGGTGATGGTGTGTCAAAAGGAGACCATCCACATAAACTGCGATATCTCAGTTTTGTTTCATAGGCACATTTGCCAAATTAAAATCTGGGTTATTTCCTCTCATGGGTAAAAGAAAAGAAAATGATATTTTCAGGTCTGGCTTAGTGCATCCATACGAGAAGGAGCAATGTTCTTAAAGAACATGGAAGCACCTGTATTCCAGCTGCCACTGTGGAAAAAATAAGAAGGAAAGACTGAGCTTTACAGAATTCGTTTTGATCATTCAACATGTTTTCAATATGATGCTAAATTTGGTTTTTAAAGAAATAATAAACATGCAATGGCAGGTCCATTGGGCAAAATTTTGGCTTGAACTTGAAGTGGATGATAAGACAGGAATAACAGATGGGAAGAGAACACATGAGAAGAGAAATTTTATAAACTAAATCCTGGGCTCAGTGTTTTTGGGAACTCTCAGTGCTTTGGACTATTTAAATATTAACTGCACTTTTCAATGTCCTATTTTTTGTCTGATAATAACAAGTGGGGGATGAGCAAGTTATTCAACAACATTCTATTATAGTCCAAAATGCCAGAAAATCCATTCAAGGCTTCCTGTGGTATACAGCTATAGGAATAAATGAATAAAACTGAAGAGACCTCTGAGGAGGAAATTGTATGATTGTATCATAGTGCCACCTGGCCTATACAGCAACACTCTGCTCACGTGGCATCAATTTGCTATTGCAAACATGAAATTGTGTACTTTACATGGAAATTGTATATTTTCAACCTCAGGATAGGTATGAGAGGCCAATCCTTCAAAGAGAACAAATAATTTATATCATACTGCACATAGGAGACTTTCCATTTGGATGATTCACTGATTTCTGAATACTTTTGAAATGACCATTTCTAGATCCAAATGCCTTTATCTCAGATATTATCATTATTATAGATTGCTAGCGTTATCAGACTAGAAACTTTAGGATGAGTGCAGCAGAGGAAATCAGAGACCTATCACCCAAATACTATTACTTGAATTAGAATTTATAATAAGGAACACTAATTTAAATTTTGTCGGGTATAAGCTTTTTTTTTAAAGCTTTGGGTGAATTCAGTTTCATTTTTATATATAGTTTACAGCTATCCATTTGTTTGAAATTATGATGTCTTTGTTTTGAGATTTAATCATGGGTATACACTTAGATATACTCCCCAACAGGAGCACAGGACACCCATTCATCAAAGCTATAAACGACATTTTTCTTTTGTTGCCATACATACTCTATTTTAAGGTAGAGGGAGTACTAGCCATTTCAGAACGTTTCAGAAGGAAGACTTGGCATACCCGATCAGCATGTGCAGAGGCTTGCACCCTACACTGCATATAAATTTTTTCAGACTGTGTTTTGGTAGGAGTTTATCCAGATTAGCTATAGAGTAAAAGAATGTTACAGCAGGAAGGAACCCCAGAGAGGGTCTAGGGCTCGAGGCCAACTCACCCTGCTTGTTTTATAAATTCTCCTGGAGAACTTAAAAGACTTGCCCAATGTTACATTAATGTGTAGCATGGCCCCCATCTTCTATTATGTAGGACATTTAGGAAAGATGTACCATGTGTACATAAAAGTACAGACATGGGGTCAGACTAATGCACACTAAAATCCCTGCTTAACTGTTAGCTAGCTGTGTAACCTTGAGCAAATTACTCATCCTTTCTAAAACCCAGCTTCCGTATCTTAAATTAGAGATAATAAATAACATAACATATAGGGTTGGATTGTGAATTATGTGAGGTAATCAATTTAATAGGTCATTGCACATAGAAAATAATAACACAGGAAATATATAAATCCACTATTCTCAAATTCCTGATGGTATTATAATACATAGTGAAAATAATCTGCTCTAAATGGCTTAAAAATTAAATTTGACTGGAGTTTTACCAAGAAATTCTTCATACTATTTAAATTATATTCATGAATCTCACTAGTTGCCAAGGGTATTATAATGAACCCAGGGCACTTATGCACCCAAAGTGCCTGTGTAAAACCAAGACACTTTGAAGGAGGTCTGTGTAAGTGAGAAAGTGGATGATATTACATACCCATCTGCAGGGAAAATGAACATATTACAGATACATACATACATGGCTGAAAAATGTAAGTAAACTCGTCCTCTTGATTTATCCTTTTTCATTAATCGAATCTGAATCTGATCATATTAAAATCAGATTTTGTTGGCACTCTGTATATCTTCTTTGGAGAAATGTCTATTTAGGTCTTCTGCCCATTTTTGGATTGGGTTGTTTGTTTTTTTGTTATTAAGCTGCATGAGCTGCTTATAAATTTTGGAGATCAATCCTTTGTCAGTTGCTTCATTTGCAAATATTTTCTCCCATTCTGAGGGTTGTCTTTTGGTCTTCTTTATGGTTTCCTTTGCTGCGCAAAAGCTTTTAAGTTTCATTAGGTCCCATTTGTTTACTCTTGTTTTTATTTCCATTACTCTAGGAGGTGGGTCAGAAAGAATCTTGCTGTGATTTATGTCATAGAGTGTTCTGCCTATGTTTTCCTCTAAGAGTTTGATAGTTTCTGGCCTTACATTTAGGTCTTTAATCCATTTTGAGCTTATTTTTGTGTATGGTGTTAGGGAGTGATCACTAATCATGAGAGAAATGCAAATCAAAACTACAATGAGATATCATCTCACACCAGTCAGAATGGCCATCATCAAAAAATCTAGAAACAATAAATGCTGGAGAGGGTGTGGAGAAAAGGGAACCCTCTTACACTGTTGGTGGGAATGTAAATTGATACAGCCACTGTGGAGAACAGTATGGAGGTTCCTTAAAAAGCTACAAATAGAACTACCATATGACCCAGCAATCCCACTACTGGGCATATACCCTGAGAAAACCATAATTCAAAAAGAGTCATGTACCAAAATGTTCATTGCAGCTCTATTTACAATAGCCCAGAGATGGAAACAACCTAAGTGTCCATCATCGGATGAATGGATAAAGAAGATGTGGCACATATATACAATGGAATATTACTCAGCCATAAAAAGAGACGAAATTGAGCTATCTGTAATGAGGTGGATAGACCTAGAGTCTGTCATACAGAGTGAAGTAAGTCAGAAAGAGAGAGACAAATACCGTATGCTAACACATATATATGGAATTTAAAAAAAAAAAATGTCATGAAAAACCTAGGGGTGAAACAGGAATAAAGACACAGACTTACTAGAGAATGGACTTGAGGCTATGGGGAGGGGGAAGTGTAAACGGTGACAAAGCGATAAAGAGGCATGGACATATATACACTACCAAACGTAAGGTAGATAGCTAGTGGGAAGCAGCCGCATAGCACAGGGAGATCAGCTCGGTGCTTTGTGTCCGCCTGGAGGGGTGGGATAGGGAGGGTGGGAGGGAGGGAGACGCAAGCGGGAAGAGATATGGGAATATATGTATATATATAACTGATTCATTTTGTTGTGAAGCTGAAACTAACATACCATTGTAAAGCAATTATACTCCAATAAAGATGTTAAAAAAAAAAAAAATCAGATTTTGACATCCTTAAGGAATAAGTTATCATTTTAAGCAGAGACAAATGTGAGAAAAATTCTATGTGATACACTTATTCTTTAGAATCTGTTGGATCCAGTGGTTTGATCTGCATGTAAGAACTCTGAACCTGATCATCACGCATATTTTTGCAAAGTATAGCCAGTGAGATGCCAATCAACAGGGATGGCCAACTGGCATCGAAGTAACTCTTTTTGGCTGAAGAGCAAATTGTACTTGGGTCAGAGAGAAAGCCAAGTCCCTGAAGATTCTCTCACAGCATTGTAAACAGTAATAGCTCCACTGTTCAGATAAGGGGCCTGTTCAAGGCCTCCTTGTAAGTAAGTAATCTAAAACACATTCAGACAGCAATGACTCTTGTTGGAACAAGATTTTAAGCCATGCCTAAAAGTACTTTAAAAATGTACTTAAAAGTTAAAAGAACTTTTATCTCTATTGCAAATTGGGGGTCCACTTAATTCAAATGCTGTATCATCTCAAGTTATCTAAGAAGCTGAAGGCAAGATGGAATTAGATAGTTGAAGGATTTTTTGGAGCAGACACCTGTGAAAGATGTAGGGGAGAGGGAGCAGAATAGGCTAGGAAAGCATCAGACTGTGATGAAGGTCTAGCACCTGTGTAAAGAGAGAAGGAAGGAAGGATGATGATGTATTGAATAGGAAGAGCTTCAGACTATACTACAGCTCCTACACTGCATCAATCAGGTCGATGGGGAGCCACAAAGCAGAGACTGCCCTTTAGAAGAGTCTGGTGTTGGGCAGAAATGTCCCAGCCCTAGTAGCCAGTCACTGGCTGGGTGAAGCCTGAAGAAAGTGCGGCCTTGGCATGAACATTATGGCGGATCCAAAGGTTGGGCCTCTGGAGGTTGTCTGCCAACCCCAGTACTTGCACAAAGTTCTCTGGAAAGGAGATCTGAGCATTTCCATGAATGCCACAGATGCCTTCCTAAAATAATATCCACAAGGGTTCTCCAAATGGGTTCCTTAAAAAGACAGGAGGGTTAGATAAAAATGATTGAAAAAAGAATTATATGCATTTTACTATATATGACATTATATAGGATGAAATATTGATAATAGCTGTGGTTCAGGTATTAACTTCCATTAACTTCCAGTTTCTGTACATAAGCATTGGCAAAACCTTTGGCCTTGCATGGCTTAAGCAATTGCTTCTGTGGTAAGTTCAGGTTTCCTTCTTAGCTATTTTATGGGTCAGGTTTCTTTTATCTGAGTTTCATGCAATTCTAGGTTGAAATGGCTTTTCCATCAAATAATTGACCATACTACCAGTATACTAGAAAATTATCAGTCTCAACTGTTCTTTCATTAATTCTGACTTTGTGCACTTTCAATAGCTTAATGACTCTTCTTTATTTCAAAAAACCTAAAAAGTGTTCTTCTTCTTCGACAGTCATTGTTATGTGGGAATGATGATTTCACATATAAGATCCTTCACAGTGAGAGGAGATTGGTTCAAGATGGCGGAGTAGAAGGATGTGCTCTCACTCCCTCTTGCAAGAGCACTGGAATCACAGCTAACTGCTGAACAATCATCAACAGGAAGACACTGGAACTCACCAAAAAGGATACCCCACATCCAAAGACAAAGGAGAAGCCACAATGAGATGGTAGGAGGGGTGCAATTACAATAAAATCAAATCCCATAATTGCTGGGTGGGTGACTCACAAACTGGAGAACACTTATACACAGAAGTCCATCTACTGGAGTGAAGGTTCTGAGCCCCATGTCAGGCTTCCCAACCTGGGGGGCTGGCAATGGGAGGAGGAATTCCTAGAGAATCAGACTTTGAAGGCTAGCAGGATTTGATTACAGGACTTTGACAGAACTGAGGGAAACAGAGACTCCACTCTTGGAGGGCACACACAAAGCAGTGTGTGCATCGGGACCCAGGGGAAGGAGCAGTGACCCCATAGGAGACCAAACCAGACTTACCTGCTAGTATTGGAGGGTCTCCTGCAGAGGTGGAGGGTGGCTGTGTCTCATCGTGAGGACAAGGACACTGGCAGCAGAAGTTCTGGGAAGTACTACTTGGCGTGATCCCTCCCAGAGTCTGCCATTAGCCCCAACAAAGATCCCGGGTAGGCTTCAGTCTTGGGTCGCCTCAGGCCAAACAACCAACAGGGAGGGAGCCCAGCCCCACCCATCAGCAGACAAGTGGATTAAAGTTTTACTCAGCTCTGCCCACCAGAGCAACATTCAGGTCTACCCACCACCAGTCCCTCCCATCAGGAAACTTACACAAGCCTCTTATATAGCCTAATCCAACAGAGGGCAGACAGCAGTAGCAAGAACTACAATCCTGCAGCCTGTGGAACAAAACCCACATTCACAAAAACATAGACAAGATGAAAAGGCAGAGGGCTATGTACCAGATGAAGGAAGAAGATAAAACCCCAGAGGGGCTTCCCTGGTGGCGCAGTGGTTGAGAGTCCGCCTGCTGATGCAGGGAACACGGGTTCCTGCCCCGGTCCGGGCAGATCCCACATGCCGCGGAGCGGCTGGGCCCATGAGCCATGGCCGCTGAGCCTGCGTGTCCGGAGCCTGTGCTCCGCAACAGGAGAGGCCACAACAGTGAGAGGCCTGCGTACTGCAAAAAAAAAAAAAAAAAAAAAAGATAAAACCCCAGAAAAACAACTAAACAAAGTGGCGATAGGCAACCTTCCAGAAAAAGAATTCAGAATAATGATAGTGAAGATGATCCTGGACCTCGGAAAAAGAATGGAGGCAAACATTGAGAAGATGAAAGAAACGTTTAATAAGGACCTAGAAAAATTAAAGAACAAACAAATAGAGATGAACAATACAATAACTGAAATTAAAAATACACTAGAAGGAATCAATAGCAGAGTAGCTGAGGCAGAAAAATGGATAAGTGAACTGGAAGACAGAATGAGGGAATTCACTGCTGCGGAACAGAATAAAGAAAAAAGAATGAAAATAAATGAAGAAATCCTAAGAGACCTCTGGAACAATATTAAACGCAACAACATTCACATTATAGGGGTCCCAGAGGAAGAGAGAGAGAAAGGACCCGAGAAGATATTTGAAGCGATTAAATTCAAAAACTTCCCTAACATGGGAAAGGAAATAGCCATCCAAGTCCAGGAAGCACAGATAATCCCATACAGGATAAACCCAAGGAGAAACATGCCAAGAAACATAGTAATCAAATTGACAAAAATTAAAGACAAAGAAAAATTATTGAAAGCAGCAAGGGAAAAACAACAAATAACATACAAAGGAACTCCTATAAGGTTAATAGCTGATTTCTCAGCAGAAAGTCTACAAGCCAGAAGGGAGTGGCATGATATATTTAAAGTGATGAAAGGGAAGAACCTACAACCAAGATTACTCTACCCGACAAGGATCTCATTCAGATTTGTTGGAGAAATCAAAAGCTTTACAGACAAGCAAAATCTGAGAGAATTCAGCACCACCATACCAACTCTACAACAAATGCTAAAGGAGCTTCTCTAAGTGAGAAACACAAGAGAAGAAAAGGACCTACAAAAACAAACCCAAAACAATTCAGAAAATGGTAATAGGAACATATATATTGATAATTACCTTAAACGTGAATGGATTAAATGCTCCAACCAAAAGACATAGACTGGCTGAATGGATACAAAAACAAGACTCATATATATGCTGTCTACAAGAGACCCACTTCAGACCAAGGGACACATACAGAATGAAAGTGAAGGGATGGAAAAAGATATTCCATGCAAATGGAAATCAAAGGAAAGCTGGAATAGCAATACTCATATCAGATAAAATAGACTTTAAAATAAAGAATGTTACAAGAGACAAGGAAGGACACTACGTAATGATCAGGGGGTCAATCCAAGAAGAAAATATAACAATTATAAATATACATGCAACCAACATAGGAGCACCTCAATACATAAGGCAACTGCTAACAGCTATAAAAGAGGAAATCGACAGTAACACAGTAATAATGGGGGACTTTAACACCTCACTTACACCAATGGACAGATCATCCAAACAGAATATTAATAAGGAAACACAGCTTTAAATGACACAATAGACCAGATAGATTTAATTGATATTTATAGGACATTCCATCAAAAACGGCAGATTATACTTTCTTCTCAAGTATGCACGGCACATTCTCCGGGATAGATCACATCTTGGGTCACAAATCAAGCCTCAGTAAATTTAAGAAAATTGAAATTCTACGAAGCATCTTTTCTGACGACAACACTATGAGATTAGAAATCAATTACAGGGAAAAAAACGTAAAAAACACAAACACATGGAGACTAAACAATACGTTACTAAATAACAAAGAGATCACTGAAGAAATCAAAGAAGAAATCAAAAAATACCTAGAGACAAATGACAATGAAAACATGACAATCCAAAACCTATGGATGCAGCAAAAGTAGTTCTAAGAGGGAAGTTTATAGCAATACAATCCTATCTCAAGAAACAACAAACACCTCAAATAAACAATCTACCCTTACACCTAAAAGAACTAGAGGAAGAGGAACAAACAAAACCCAAAATTAGTAGAAGGAAAGAAATCCTAAAGATCAGAGCAGAAAAAAATGAAATAGAAACAAAGAAAACAATAGCAGAGATCAATAAAACTAAAAGGTGGTTCTTTGAGTAGATAAACAAAATTGATAAACCATTAGCCAGACTCGTCAAGAAAAAGAGGGAGAGGACTCAAATCATTAAAATTAGAAATGGAAAACGAGAAGTTACAACAGACACCACAGAAATACAAAGCATCCTAAGAGACTACTACAAGCAACTCTATGCCAATAAAATGAACAACCTGGAAGAAATGGACAAATCCTTAGAAAGGTATAAAATTTCAAGACTGAACCAGGAAGAAATAGAAAATATGAACAGACCAATCACAAGTAATGAAATTGAAACTGTGATTAAAAATCTTCCAACAAACAAAAGTCTAGCAGCAGATGGCTTCACATTTAGAGAAGAGCTAACACCTATCCTTCTCAAACTCTTGCAAAAAATTTCAGAGGAAGGAACACGCCCAAACTCATTCTATGAGGCCACCATCACCCTGATACCAAAATCAGACAAAGATACTACAAAAAAGAAAATTACAGACCAATATCACTGATGAATATAGATGCAAAAATCCTCAACAAAATACCAGCAAACAGAATCCAACAGCACATTAAAAGGATCATACACCATGATCAAGTGGGATTTCTCCCAGGGATGCAAGGATCATTCAATATATGCAAATCAGTCATTGTGATACACCATATTAACAAATTGAGGAATAAAAACCATATGATCAACTCAATAGATGCAGAAAAAGCTTTCGACAAAATTCAACACCAATTTATGATAAAAACTCTCCAGAAAGTGGGCATAGAGGGAACCTACCTCAACATAATAAAGGCCATATACGACAAACCCACAGCAAACATCATTCTCAATGGTGAAAAACTGAAAGCATTTCCTCTAAGATCAGGAAGAAGACAAGGATGCCCACTCTCACCACTCTTATTCAACATAGTTTTGGAAGTCCTAGCCACGGCAATCAGAGAAGAAAAACAAATAAAAGGAATACAAATTGGAAAAGAAGAAGTAGAACTGTCACTGTTTGCAAATGACATGATACTATACATAGTGAATACTAAAGATGCTACCAGAAAACTACTAGAGCTAATTAATGAATCTGGTAAAGTTGCAGGATACTAAATTAATGCACAGAAATCTCTTGCATTCCTATACACTAATGGTGAAAAATCTGAAAGAGAAATTAAGGAAACACTCCCATTTACCACTGCAACAAAAAGAATAAAATACCTAAGATTAAACCTACCTAGGGAGACAAAAGACCTGTTTGCAGAAAACTATAAGACACTGATGAAAGAAATTAATGATGATACCAATAGATGGAGAGATATACCGTGTTCTTGGACTGGAAGAATCAATATTGTGAAAATGACTATACTACCCAAAGCAATCTACAGATTCAATGCAATCCCTATCAAATTACCAATGGCATTTTTTACCGAACTGAAAGAAAAAAATCTTCAAATTTATATGGAGACACAAAAGACTCCGAATAGCCAAAGCGGTCTTGAGGGAAAAAAACGGAGCTGGAGGAATCAGGCTCCTGGACTTCAGACTATACTATAAAGCTACGGTAATCAAGACAATATGGTACTGGCACAAAACAAATATAGATCAATGGAACAGGATAGAAAGCCCAGAGATAAACCCATGCACCTATGGTCAACTAATCTATGACAAAGGAGGCAAGGATATACAATGGACAAAAGACAGTCTCTTCAATAAGTGGTGCTGGGAGAACTGGACAGCTACATGTAAAAGAATGAAATTAGAACACTCCCTAACACCATATACAAAAATAAACTCAAAATGGATTAGGGACCTAAATGTAAGACTGAACACTATAAAACTCTTAGAGGAAAACATAGGAAGAACACTCTTTGACACAAATCACAGCAAGATCTTTTTTGATCCACCTCCTAGAGTAATGGAAATAAAAATAAACAAATGGGACCTAATGAAACTTAAAAATTTTTGCACAGCAAAGTAAACTACAAACAAAACAAAAAGACAACCCTCAGAATGGGAGAAAATATTTGCAAATGAATCATCGGACAAAGGATTAATCTCCAAAATACATAAACAGCTAATGCAGCTCAATATTAAAAAAACAAACAACCCAACCGAAAAATAGGCAGAAGACCTAAATAGACATTTCTCCAAAGAAGACATGCAGATGGCCAAGAAGCACATGAAAAGCTGCTCAACATCACTAATTATTAGGGAAATGCAAGTCAAAACTACAATGAGGTATCACCTCACACCAGTTAGAATGGGCATCATCAGAAAATCTACAAACAACAAATGCTGGAGAGGGTGTGGAGAAAAAGGAACCCTCTTGCACTGTTGGTGGGAATGTAAATTGATACAGCCACTATGGAGAACAGTATGGAGGTTCCTCAAAAAACTAAAAATAGAATTACCATATGACCCAGCAATCTGATTACTGGGCATATACCCAGAGAAAACCATAATTCTAAAAGACACATGCACCCCAATGTTCAATGCAGCACTATTTACAATAGCCAGGACATGGAAGCAACCTAAATGCCCATCGTCAGATGAATGGATTAAGAAGATGTGATACATTTGTACAATGGAATATTACTCAGCCATAAAAAGGAATGAAATTGGGTCATTTGTAGAGACGTGGATGGATCTAGAGACTGTCATACAGATTGAAGTAAATCAAAGAGGAAAACAAATACGTATAATGCATATATGTGGAACCTAGAAAAACGGTACAGATGAACCTGTTTGCAGGGCAGAAATGGAGACACAGATGCAGAGAATGAATGTATGGCCACCAAGGGGGGAAAGTGGTGGGGAGGGGGTGGTGTGATGAATTGGGAGATTGGGATTGACATATATACACTAATATGTATAAAATGGGTAACTAATAAGAACCTGCTGTATAAAAAAATAAATAAAATATAATTCTAAAAAAAAGATCCTTCACAGCGCTACTGTTTCTGAGCTGCCTCTATTGTTCTACACTGGGAAGATAGGGCAGCAAGACAGTGGGGTAGGTTTTATGTCCCCGGCTTTTTGGAAGACAAGTAGCTGTAAGGATTGAATCTGAGAAGAAACAAACCATAGCCTGTTAGGCTTTGCTCTGTACAACACTGCTAAACCTCTCACTGCAATGACCCAGAAGTGTTTCCACCAATTTCATAACTTCTAAATCTAAACTACACTAACACCATCCCCAGGCCTGACCAGACCAGCCTCTTTTCTGGCATATTTAGAATTTCTATTTTTAAAAGAATCATCTCCAGCTTCTAACTAAAACCCTTCATTTGGGTAGAAATGTATCACAAAGCACATCATATGCAGAGCATTCAAGCAGAAAAGCTATCATGTCTTCTTTGAAATCCACCAGGGAGCAAGAATTACAGAGTTTTTCCTTAGTAAATTCTGCAACCAGATAAATTAACAAAGTACAGATTACCTCCTGAGCTAAACTCTTTTCATGATAGCATAATCCAACCTTAACCTAGGATGTGCCAAGAAGTCTAACAACTCCTCCCCAGGAAAGAATGCACGTCTCCTCCCTGAGTTGTGCTAAGACCATAATCGGCTGGGCACAGAGATGGAGTGCCAACACTCAGAAGAAATAAAAGAAACTGATTATAGTGGGAGCTGGAATGAGTGACCAGCCTTAGCCCACTGTGAACTCTTCCTTTCTTCAGAATATACAAATAAGTTGGGTCTGTATTAAGCCTACGGGAAGGGAGGCCTTACGGGGATTTTTATCATAACCATCATTCTCTGTGAGTCATTTTTGCTTGAATGGTTTTAAGACCTCTCAAGAAAGTTGGGTTAATAACGATGCCAATTTTTTTTCCTTTTTTTTTTTTAACATCTTTATTGGAGTGTAATTGCTTTACCATGTTGTGTTAGTTTCTGCTGTATAACAAAGCGAATCAGCTATATGTATACATATATTCCCACATCCCCTCCCTCCTGCGTCTCCCTCCCACCCTCCCTATCCCACCCCTCTAGGTGGCCACAAAGCTCCAAGCTGATCTCCCTGTGCTATGCAGCTGCTTCCCACTAGCTATCTATTTTACATTTGGTGGTGTATGTATGTCAGTGCTACTCTCTCACCAAATTTTAATGTAAAGAATTCTTATTGAAAGTAAAACTCTCTAATCTATTGCTTTATGTTGTTAATGGAAGACAGTTTTCAACCTTAGTCTGAGTCAAAGTAGTTGACTTAGTTTGGCTATACTACCTGTTTCTTAAACCAAAGCAGTTGTATTACTTTCACCTTTATAAAAAATCATTGCTTTTAAAAAAATTACAGAAGTTGTCTTTGCTCACTGAAAAAAAATCTAAAAAATCAAAACTATATAAAGACTGAATTTGTGAAAGTTTTAAACTCACTAGAAAATTCAAACAGTACACAATACTACATGAAATACAGAGTGAATATTCACCTTTCCCCACTTGCCCTTTCCCATATCTCCTCTCTAGGGGTAACCCAGATCTTTTGCTATGCATTCTTACAAAAGTTGGTTCATACTTTAGTTTTCTGCAACTATTTTTATTTAATAATAGATCACTAACAGCAGCCCATATCAGTGAAGACTGGTCTATCTCATTCTTTGTATATTTGCATCCCACTCCATTGTATAAACTTTTGATTTAATTGATTATACTATGGAGTATTTTGTCATCAAGTTGTCTGTATTGCTATTAAATATGGAATAAATATCGTTGTCCATATGTCTTTTTACTCAGGTAGACATTACTGTTGGACAATCCCAGAAGTAGAATCGATGGTTCAAAGGGTATGCAGAATTTAAATTTTTATATATGTTGCCAAATTGTCTTTTGAAAATGTTACTAACCATACATTACCATCATTATATGGGAGTGTGCCTTTCCTCATGTACTTGCCATTCTAGATGTTATCTCTTTTTTTAATTTAATTTTTATTTTATATTGGGGTATAGTTGACTTACAATGTTTTGTTAGTTTCAGTTGTACAGAAAAGTGGTTACGTTATACATATACATATATCCATTCTTTTTCAGATTCTTTTCCCATATAGGTTATTATAGAATATTGGGTAGACTTCCCTGTGCTATACAGTAGGTCCTTACTGATTATCTATTTTATCAATCTTTTTGATGTGCTAATTCCCCATTTGGAAATCACTGAAAATGTTATCACCTTCAGAGACAAATTTCCAAATATGGAAATGCGATTGTATTTATTCCAACATTCTAAGTTTGAGAAAGATTTGGATGCATATTTTATATACCAAAAACTAAGAGGTGGAATAAGTGACTACACTAAGGAGAACTATGCATCAGCAGCTAAGAATCCTTCCTCCCATCTGGTGGTCCCCAAATTGATAAGAATTAAAACAGTGGTGGCGATCCCCAAGTTACTTTCAAGGTTTCAGTCTTTCCATCTTTTCAAGATTGAGTATAATGAGGTGAAATATCATAGGCTTTGAAGTCAGTTAGAACTGAGATCAAATCTCTACTCTCATTCTGAGTAAGTGAATGAATGCTCTCTTGGTTAGGTTTCCTCAAATGAAAAGTGGTGGTATTTGGGCTGATCTCAAGGCAGAGTTAACTATGTAAGGTAATAAATAATAGCTGTGATGAGCAAATGGATGAATATGACCATGTAAAAATTAAATGTCTTTTCATAGAAACAATATACCATTTTACCAAAACAATATACCAAAGTCAAAAGATAAACAATATAGAATCATTTTTAAATTGCCTTCATTCATATAATTTAGCAAAATTTTGTGAGTTTATAAGTATATACCTCTAAAAGTGGAATTTCTGGGTGAAAGAATACATGCATTTAAAACTTTATCAACATGCCAAATGATCCTGAAAATCGATTTTGCCTATTTACATTCTCAATCGACATTGAATAAGAATGTCTTTGTCCCCACACCCTGACTAATAGTGCATATTATTAACATGTTTTATCTTTTCCAGTATGATAGATTAAAAAAAAAGTTTTTTATTGTTTTGATTTACACTTTTAGCAGTGAATAAATTTGAGCATATTTTCATGTTTATAATTATTTTAATTTTTCTATTTTTCTGTGAATTGTCTCTTCTTAATTATCTTTGAAATGTCTATTTTTCTATTGGGTAACTTGTCTATTTTTTAGAAATCAGTTTTTAAGAGCCCTTTATAGGTTAATTAAGTCTTTCTTCTGTCTTATCTGTTGCAAATAAATTTTCATTCTATATTCTTTTGTGTTCATTTTTTTTACCATGGGAATATGCTATGTTTTAAAATTAAAATTCTAGAATATATGTAAACATATATTATGATGTATCTATATCTGTGTATAATCACTTTCTTCTAATGCAAAATATACATTACCCATAATAAAGCCAGATAGGAAACATGAAACACCAAATTCCTGCCCACTGAGTGAAACTATGTTAACCCAATTTTATCTCACAGTGATCTGCAGCTCAATTTTGTATTTATATAAAGAGATTAATGAAAATGGGAATATAAGTGAACTTATACTTGGTACACAATCTCCTTCAAAGTATGGAATTCTTGGGGAAAACCATAAATTAAGCAACTACTTTGTTTTAAAAATTATAAGCACTTAATTCATCCCTGTGAATGTGTAAATAGTTTCTCATAAATTAATTTGTGGCTCATCTTAAATAAATATTTGAATTTTGACAAGACCGTTCTACAAACAAAGCCTTAACCAAAAGAAGAGATTTTGACATTGGAATTGCATGCCCAGAAAGACAAATCTGGGGTACAGCAGTGTGAGAAAACAGTGGGGAATTTTATTAGAGGAAACTTTGATGACCTTGATTCATGCCACAAAAATTGGGCTGCTGATTCCACCAGTCCTATTATGACCACTTTCAATAACTGAAAGTTACTAATGCTGTTTATTTCTGCAAACTTATTTCTGGAGAGTGCTCTAAAGGGGAAAAAAACAGGCTCTACGTTTTGATGATTTTCATTTTGGAATCAACACCCATCAGGCATCAGGCATGCAAATGTGGTTTAAAATGTTTATTAACTTCTTCGTGAGTTACAAACATAAGTGAAACAGTCGATGTATTTACAGTAAACCTAATAAACCTCCAGATAATGCAGTAGTTAGGTCAATCTTTTACTTCAAATAATCCCATGAAAGCCGAGAATTGTAAATAAATCTCAAATATCTTATTCATTTTGTTTTTTGTTTATCTGGATGGATTTTGCTCAAACCCTGGGACACATAGTTCCACAGATTAAGATTTTTATGAACTACGAGTGCAATTACAATTTTAAATACCAGCATTGTCAAATCTAAGATATTACTAAATTAAAATAACTTTGAACCAAAACTTTCTGTGGTCACTATGAAATAAATACTTTATGTTCTTACAATTAAATTTTACCAATGGCTTTGAGTTAAAAAAGAGTTAAAGATGAGTGTGAGATTGCCTCTAATTTCTGGCAGCATTTTCCCACTTTGGTATCTGCACATGAATTTTCAGAGGGAAAGAATGTCCCTCAGTCCCGTCTTATACAACATCACTATTACATCATCCAGCCCACTATGTTGAGTCCCTGTATGATGACCTTCAGGAACAATTTCTTGTATGTTTTGGTTTCAGAAGAAGATGCACTTCTAAGCAATTCTTGGCTTTCACCCTATGGAAGGTATACATCTTATAATGGATCATGTTTTCTTATTTCTTATGGTCACAAAGAAGCTCAGAGCCAAAACTGTGGCCCACTTCTAGCAAATGAACAGTATGTTATAATATTTACTTCAAGAGCTAACTATCCTTGCCTGTTATCTTAGTTTTATACCCTATTTTTCTTCCATTCCCATTTTTTCATGTTTTATTTATTCATCTTTATGGCTTATATATTTCTCCAGAAGGCACCTCAAATCCTCTTTTAGAAGATGGGGGCTAGGAAAATATTAAACAGATAGATATAAATAAGGCAAATAAATAATAAAATAGATAATAAGGCATACTGACAGAATAAAAACTGTCTATTATTATATATAAAAATTATATAAAAAATTGATGAGAGGTAGTACCTCATCTCACATTGTACAATGGACGTGTTTCTAGAATGTTGCTTGTGAATCAAATTATTTTAAAGCGAATATACATTTAATCTACTAGAGGAGCTAGTAGAATGGCATTATGAAATGCCATTCAAGCATTTCATAAAGCACAGAATGTTAACATCATATGAATACTCAACTTCTGATACAGATGAGGTTTTTGTTATGCAGACTCAGGTTTCATGTTCCCTGATTTAAAAGAAAACTATTTACAAATGGAGTATAATCTTTAAAAGTTGTGAATCACTATGTTGTACACACGAAACATAATATTGTAAATCAACTATACCTCAATTAAAAAAAAAGAAAACTAGAGTGTAAAACTGTAAAAGTCCTTGTTCTTTCATTCCCCCTACTCCCTCCCACTTTCTAAAATTTTTCACTCCTAGAGGAAACCACAGTTAATAATTTAATGTAATTTTTCCATATAATTTAAAAAATTAGTATTCATATCAACAATATATATAGAGAGAGGTTGGGGGAAATTTTTAAAGTTTTCTGTGGTCTGCTGGTTTAAAAACAGAAGACAGACAAAATGGTTGGCATGGATAACTGGAGAAGCTGTGGAGGAGCCCCAAGAACGGACTTGACCCAGAAAGGCTCTGGGTTCCCATCCAACTCCTATAACTATCTAATTGCATGATTTGGTCCAGTTGCTTTACTTCTTCAGCCAGCTTCCTCACTGATAGAGGATAATCACACCTTCTTCATGGGACTGCTGTGAAGAAAAATTGACATAATTGCTGTGAATGTGCTCGGAATACTCTATAGTGTTAGGAAAACGTAGGAGAAAAAAATTTATGAAGCAAATTTAATTTAAACAGACATTCTGATTTATTATTTGCCTACAACAGTTGAGACCTATTGACTTAGCTCTCAAATTCTTTTATCCAAGATATTATGAGTTCCTCTGGTTAACACATCTCAGCCTTCACCTGGTTCAGCAAGTGCTGCAGAGGGCCAGGGACCTTGAGTAAAGTTCTGTTACCCTGCAAGCCCTCGCTCTCCTCAACGAGTTCTCCAGCAGTTCCTCCCCTCACCTGACCTTTCCTGGTTTCCCTGGGTAGACAATGGGTGGTAGGCAGGTCGGTTCCTTTCGTATGCAAAGCGTTCAGTATTCTTCCTCTTGGGTTTTCATTATTCCCTGGAGAAGTCTGATTAGCAAACTAGACTGATAGTTTATTTAGTAGTTGGAAATACTCTGTGTGCCTAATTTCTATAAAAATTGCTATGAAAAACTTTTTCATACCTGCTCAGATCCCTTTCTCATGCACATCTTTTTTTTGCTTTTATAGTCCCACCTCTTTTAAAAATAAAGAGGATAGAAGGAAAGAACCAAGTAATATGTGAAGATAAAAAGTAGGAAAGGATCGAATGTGAAAGAAAAGAAGGGATGGAAATGCCCTGATCATGGTAAGGTTGCTAAATTCACTTCCTTGGAGTGTAGACTGACTGACAACAGATGGAAGTTGGATCAGAGCTGGGGGCTCCCACCACATCTACTGGACTTCAAGGCTTCTGCCATTTCCATTACTCCAGAACACCTAGTTGGAAGCTCATGGCCCTCCTCTATCTTGTGGTGACCATAATGGGATTGAATTTGATACTGGGAACAGCAATTTATGAAGGATTTTGATGAATTGGAGTGTATACTAAGGTGGAGGTCCAGCATGGTGTAGGATCTGGAAACCTCATCACATGAGAAGTAGTGGGAAGACCTGCATGTGTTTGGCCTGGAGGAGAGATAACTTATGGTGAGACATGTGGAAAGTGTGTCTCATGAGAAAAAGCAAATTTAAATTTCTAAATTTTCCCTATGTGCTCTAGAGATAGGATCAGGTATAAATAATAGAATAGCAGATTCTGGCTAAAGTACTCTTAACAAATGGTGCAGTCACAAAATGGAACTCGGTTCCCAATGAGGGAGCTAATGGCTTACTCATCAATATAATTATCCAGACAGAAGCTGGAGGACCATCTATCAGATGCTTTTCACAAACAAGCTTTTGCATTTGGTGGGAGGATAGAGGAAATAATCTCAAAATATTAAAAAAAAATTTTTTTAATTTTTACACTTAAGTCATTTAAAGGGAAACATTCATTCATGAGTCTCTGTTGAGACCTATCTTGTTTGGCTCCTTTCCACCCACTGGCTGCACATGGATGGCATTGCCCAGGTCCTGAGCTTTTCTGGGGATGGTTCTGAGTCCACTAGAGAGAGTCCAGGCAATCATATTCCTTTTAGTTTTTAAGAGCTCTGAATCGAAATACCAATTTTTTTTGAAATTCATAAAATAAATGGTGATTTTAAGCTTTAATTCTGGCTCTGGGACCTCCTCATAAGTCTTGGCTAAGAATTTCCAGATCATGAAATAGTTTTTCCCCTGTTGCCTTTCAATAGAGGAAAGAAAAGATGAATACATTCCTCAGCTGTTTTCTTCCCTTCATGATTCCCCTGCCATCCTCTCAACCAAGGCAATTGAGGGTGAGGGCTGGGGACAGGGGTGGGGAGCGTCAAGGGTGCTCTTCCAGGGTGTTCACAGCATCACATGCTCAACTCCACAATATGCCCTGAGTCCTGGGCAAGGAAGGAATTCCCAGCATTCTTCCACCTGTTACCTGGCTTTCCTGAAACCCTTATCCTACTATAGTTTCCTCTGAGCAGCACTTCAGTGATTTACCTATTTATTATGTTTATTATTGTTCACTGCCTCTCCCAAATAGAATGTAAGCCCCATGAGGGCAAGGTCTTTGTAAACGTGCCATGTAAGTTTTGTTCCCTGAGGCATCTTACGTTCATAGAACAAATCTGTCATGGTGCAGGCTCTTCAACATTTGTCGAAAGAACCTAGTGGATGGGAATTCAGTGTTAGTTTCAAAAATCCTTTAAAGTAGGTGTGCTTTATTTCTAGAATCTTACTAGTTTTACCAGTAAATATTGTATTAGTTTGGATCCCCCAGGAAAACAGGACCAGTAGGAGTTTGAGAGACTACAGCAGTAATTCAGGTGAAAGACCATGGTGGTTCGGACCAGATGTTAGGCATGGAGGGGTCAGGAAGTGACCCGATTTTGAATGTGGAGTGTGAGAAAATGTGGAGGATGGCAGTTCAGAGCTCTGTATAAAGATCTGGGTTTGAGATACAAATTTGGAAGTTCTACATTTTCATTCAATTTGGTTAAGCATTTATTGGGCATCGTACCATTTGCTGGGCACCAACGTAGACATTTTAGGTACAGATACTCAGAATATATAGTGCCTCCCTCAGAGGTCTCATAATTAATGGGAAAAGTATACATGTTAGTAAAAACTGAAATATTTAATACAAGTAGGTATAAAGACCCATGAGGATGCAGATGCAGGGATAGTTAATTAATTAATTCCACCTTTGGGAAAAGCCAGGCACTAAACAATTGAGCTGGAATTTGAAGGTTAAGAAGAATTTCCCTATATGGTCTCCAGGCAGCGGGGAAGGAATGGTAAGTACAGTTTCACATTTCATGAGGTAAATGTACTCTGGCATGCCTTAACTTGTAGTTAATTCAGTACCTGATACATTCTCCCTCATAATCTGGAAACTATAAAGAGGCAAATACTACTATAGACCTATACATGATCATATATGAGATCAGAGGATCTCTATTCAGGGGGCTTAAAAAGGACTGCCTTTCATGTAAGTTGCAAATTTATGTCTGGTTCCATAATTTTTTACATTAACCAATGTTTTCTGTGCATGATGACCTTTCTCCCAAAGACGGAGCAGTCAGCTTCCCTGTCTCACAGAATGAAGGCTCCAGATGAACCCAGAGGAAGAAAGAAGGTAATCTTTCTTTGCTAAGCATGGCCCTGAAATCATCTCAGGGTATAAACGATAGAACTTAGAAAATATTTTGTGAGTCCCTCTGGCACCTGCTAGAAGATTCTCTGAGCTTGAGGGTGAGGGGGGCAGGCAAGAATGAGAAGGCACAGAAGGGATATAAAGAGAGAATTTGGCAGTGTCAGAGTCTGAAAGGCCAAATTGGAAGTTCATCTCAGAAGGAGTGGAGTCAGCATTCGTGGACTGCCTGGTCTCCAGTGCTGCCCTTTCAGCCAGCTTGGCAGTACTGACCACCCAGCAGGTGTTCTGCCTGCCTGTGCCCTAATCTCTCTCTATGTGGGCAATTCCCCTTTTAAAAACTCCAGACATTGGTAAGCACTCCTACTGCTCTAGCAAAGCATGGAACCCCAGAAATCAAGGGATTAGGGGTGGTTCTTAGGGAAAGGAAGCCTCATTATAGTTGAGTGGGATACAGCTAGAGCAGGACCAGTTCAAGATCAACACCCATCCTGCCTCCTGCCTCAGGATGGGACAGTGTGGTCCACACCCCTACTGGAACCTTTCCCCCTCCTTTCATTCTGGGTGTCTTTGCCTTGAACAGTTGGGTTGTTGAGCCACAGCTGAGCACCAGAAAAGCCTCTAAGGAACAGAATTTTCCACTTCTTGGATTCCTTTAAAAAGAAGGGTATCTTATGTGACATCTGCTGCCCGAAGTCTTTGGTACTATGCTCCTTCCCAAGTCTTGGCATACCTGTGCTATTTTCCATGCCCTGGGGATTTTTTATTCTAGTGCTAAGAAGCTTGGTTTCTTTAAGTTGTTGCTTAAACATTTCTCTCCGGGTATAAATTTGGCTTTGTGTCTGGGAACCCTGTAAAAAAAATGTCATTTAGTAAGCCGAATCTGTTAAATAAATGATGTTACAACTGGCTGTCAGTAATAAAGTAAATAGTAAAAAGATAGCATGATGGGCTGCTCTGTCAGATCTCAGACAACCTGGAACTGGACTTTTGAACTTTCTACTTAGAAAAGCATGTGGTGACTGGGAGTTTGATGCTTTAACAAAATGACAGGCTTATGCAGAACGATACTGACTTTCTGAAGCACTTTGACAGCTTCTTCTCTCACTTTCTTTTCACTGCAGTGGAATGAGGTGGGCAGGCCCGTACTTGACAGATGTCCAGCGCAAGACATTTAAAAACCACGTTCCCTAGGTCACACACAAGTACAGTTCTCAGGCTGAGGTCTGTGTCTGGACACCCCACTTCCCTGTGCTCCAGTTTCTGGACATACCCCTATTCTAACATGCCTCGTGTCCTTGGTAAATTACTTCATCTCTCTTGCCTCCGTTTTCTAACCTCTGAAGTAAGGTCCTTTAACTAGCTTTTCACCATGCCCCAGGGAGCAGGAGTTTGGAAATTGGTTGCAGGTGTAAAGAGGCAATGTTTGGTTTGCCAGTTACGCTTTCCAAGCTGTCTTGTCCGTTTCCCCCCCTCCCTACCCCCCCTCCCTACCCCCCCCGCCCCCATTCCAGCAGAAAGCTAACCTTTCTGTAAGCGTTCCCTTGAATTTGTTGACTGCATTTAGGTTCTTTTAGGTCCTGCCTTCTTTTTGGGAACAGGGGTGGGTGGAGAGGAAGGAAGTGTCCTGCAACTACCAATATTTTCCTCTAGGAGGAGCCGCGCAGCCCAGATGAGAGTGACACGCACCAACTCCAACTCCTCGCCGGGGAACGCTTCATCCCAGTTCCGCGGAGTGCTCGGTCCGAACTGCGCTCGGCGCCTCCCCAGCGGGTCTCGAACCAGCCGCCCTGAGCTCCCGCTTCCCCTCGCTGCGGCAGCCTGGGTCCCGAGGGCGGCGGGCCGGGCGCGGCGTGACCCCTAGTGAACGGCGCCCGCCGGTTCTCACCCCTCCCCTCCCCTCCCATCCTCCCTTCCCGTTTCACCCCTCCCCTCCCCCTCCCCAAGCCTGACAGCCCGGGAGCTGCCAAGCAGGGCGCAGCCATGGGAAGAGGAGGCGGTCTAGGGAGCGGCGGCGGCGGCGGCGGCAGCAGCGGCGGCTGCTGCAGCGGCGGCGGCGGCGGCTGCTGCTGCTGAGCCGAGGCAGCGGCGAGGACCCCGGGCTGGGGCCGCGCAGGCCGGAGGGCCCCGCGCCCTCGGCCCCAGCGCGGCCGCGAACCGCTCTCTCTCTCCGGAGGCGAGGCTCGGAGGTACTGGAAGGGAGCTCCGGAATCGGGCTCTGATTTTCCCCATGTTGTGTCGGGGGGCCTGGGAGTGGAGCCTGGGACGCCAGTTGTTTATGAAAGTGGGGATCTGTCTTATGTATTTACACGGATAATTTTTGTCCTGGTGACTTGGGGGTTGGCACTGCTCCCCTCCTCTTCACCAAGAAGTTGTTTTCTGCTGGTGGGTAGTTGTAACCCGATCCACGCTCTGAACGTGTGCGTGTGTGTATGTGTAAGTGGGTGGGGGCGTCAGGGAGTTGGGGTGACAGGCGAACCATCCCACGCTGGCGCCTGCTCCCACCCGCGTTTGCGGTGCCTGGAGGGGCTTCCTCCGAAGCCAGTTTTGTTAAAGTCTTAGAAGTTTTGCGACTGTTTCTGTTTGACATCATCAGCCAGCCGGGCTGGGGCAGGAACTGCTGAGGCTTCGCTGCTAAGCGGGGAGAGGTCCCTGGCTGCGCCGCGGGAGGAGAGGGGAGGTTGTTCGGCTGTGCGCCTCTACACCGCGCGCTCCTTCCCAAAGCGCACCACCCTTGCGCGTTTCTGCGGACTGCAGCCGCGCATTGGCACCAGCGGAGCTGGGGTCAGTTAGAGTCACGGCCACCAGTCCCCATGAGCTGGGGTGGGTGGAGATCGTGGCGAGCCGAACTCCTCCAGCCCTGAACACACTCGTGGTTATGAAATCAACCAGGCTTAAAGTTTTGACAGAATTGCCCGAGGCAAGAGAGCCGCGCGGGTGAGTGGGGTAGCGACGGGTCTGGGGAGAAGACTCCGGCGGCGCGCAGAGGGTGCTGGGCAGGGTCACCCACTTGCGGGTGCACAGGGAAGTCTGTTTTGGGGTAAGTGCTTTATATATGAGCCTGAGCGGGGGCTACGCCTGCTGGGGTCATGCTGTGGGAGTGGGTGGCCCGGTGCAGGGTCAGTGGGCTGAATGGGTGTACGTGCGCGCTGTCTGTGTGCGCGCGGTGTGTGTGCGCGCGTGTGTGCGCCTGGGGGGGGGGGGGGGGGGGGAGTCTGAGCCCGGGGGGTGGGCGGGGGGGTTGGGGGGAGGAGGCCAGAGAGGTGCCGCCCGCCTGTTTGTGCCGCCAGGAGACCTTGGAAGGGACGGGGAAAGGTAACAGGAGGCCAGAGGGTTGGGAAGTCTCAGGAGTTTCTGTACAGGATTTAAGTACCACGGACTTTAAAATACTAATCCTTTTGCCTTCGAAAGTCTGGAGGTGGAGGTTTCTGGAGCTCTCAGGAGACCTGCATAGGAGGACGGAGGGTCTAGGAGACGTGTTAATGTGTGGGTTCAGAAGCCCGGCGACGCGGACCCAGGTTGGATCCGTGGATCTGAGATTCCCAGGGTACTGTTGTGCACAGCCTCTGGGGTGTTTAGACTCCCTGGTGTGTGTGCCTGGGAAGGCACTCATCTTTCCTCACCTGAGCAGGTGGTGTCATCCTGGAAGCCCTCCTCTCTGGGGTGCCAGGGTATAGACCTTGGAGGTCTATAGTATTGAAACATTTCCAGAAATTAAAATGCTGGATAGGAACGAAATAAAATGATTTAGTAGACAGAATTGTTGGTTCCATCTTTTCTGTGATTGAGGATTCTTCTTCCTTTTGAGAAAAACAAAGCTCAGTGTTCCCAGATTAGATTTCAAGGGGTCTGGCCATTCGTGGTTTCCCTTCAGATGGACTTTAGATGGAGCTGGAAGGATGTGTTTTAAGTCCAGAGACCACTGGAAAACTTCATTCGTAGCTTAAGTATGTCCCATCTCTCATCTTCTTCCACCCTCGTAAACTTTTTGCTTCACATGAGTCTAAGGAAAGTTGGTGAGTCAACATTCAGCTTTTCTTTTGGAGTAAATATATCACAGTGAAATTATAGCTTGGGTCTCCTGAATGGCATGGAAAACCAACACTTAATGGGCAGAGGTGTGAAATGAAAATCTATAAATGCATTGACAAAGCGACGGCACGAGTGCATTTTTTTCCAAACTGAGCATAACTTGGTCTTGCAAGTATTTGTTCTAGGCAGAGTTTGGGGCTGTGTTTTTGATTGTTAGTTTTTAGACAGCAGACTTCGCATCATAAACCTCTTAAAAATGGATTCTAGATGTCTTTTCTGTGCTATCTCTGGTGCCTGTGTTAACAGATGTATACGGTGCTTGGTAACCTATGGAATTGTGTTGAGTATCTTGTTAGCTCAAGACAAAATGTTTATAGCATAATGTAATAAATGAGCCCTAGCTGCACTCTGCTTCTGCTAATCGCGTGAAGCACCCCAGCATGGAAACAAATCTTGAAGTTGGTCCAACTTGGCGAGCCTTTTTGGCTATCTGCTGGTAAGCGTTGTTAATGTAAAGATAAATCTGAGTGATACACTGAGAATGTGGCACAGCAAATTGTTTAGCTCAGGAAAAAGGCATGGGTTATATTTTTTAAATCTGCTAATCTTAAGCTTCTCTGGTCATTCCACTGGTAAATTGCACAATTCTGGAGATTTGGTTTACTTTCAGGGAAGACATTTTTTAAAAGTATGTCAATAATGAAAATAACTTCTAGTTTTTAGTGTGTTCACATACGTCCATACAAACCGTCACTTTTTCTTCTTAAAAAAGAAAACCCTGGGCTTCCCTGGTGGCGCAGTGGTTGGGAGTCCGCCTGCCGATGCAGGGGACACGGGTTCGTGCCCCGGTCCGGGAGGATCCCACATGCCGCGGAGCGGCTGGGCCCGTGAGCCATGGCCGCTGAGCCTGCGCGTCCGGAGCCTGTGCTCCGTAATGGGAGAGGCCACAATGGTGAGAGGCCCACATACCACACAAAAAATAAATAAATAAATAAAAAGAAAACCCTATAATATCTGTGGTAGTGACAAATAATATGAGTATTCAAATCACGTAATCACTTTCTGAATCTTGAATTGATAAGAACTGAAGTTCGGTAAGGCTGAAGTCAGACCTTTGCTAATTGGGTAAACAAGGCAACACAGGACATCTTTTTGGCAAGTGATTTTTTTTAACCCTGGGGCAATATAATGGAAACAATATACTCAATAACATGGTTGATCAGTATGATCACCGACTTTATAGGTAACTCTCTACTGGGGCAAGAACTTCCACTTCAGTAGCCTTCCATGTTAGTGGGCCAGCTTACCTCTCCCTGGAAATAATCAGATGGAAATCCTGCTTCCTCACTAGCCAGTCCATTCTAGGGGAGATTTATGTTTAGAGAGTTCTGCCTGTACTGAATCAACACTTTCTTCTGCTCACTGGCCTAGTATTAAGTTGCTGGAACCACACACAATGAATCTAATCTCTCTTCCCTTTAAGTGCTGTATTGGAAAACAAACAGTATGCTCCTTCTTCCTGAATTCTTTTTTGCCTGTTCTTGGAGCTGTTCCTCACCCACTGTGGGGTGCCACCCTTTTCTGCCCTGACCAGGATGCCTCGAGTCCACATTCTCTCCATCCCTCCTAATGTACGTCATTGAAAACAGAGATGTGAAATCCTTAGTCCTGGACTTTCTATATCTGTTAAGTCAGCTTAATATTCATGAGCTGTTTTAGCCATCTCATTACACTGTTCACTAATTTCAAACCTGTAAACAACTCATTCTTTTCAGATTATTAATCATCCACAGTCACAGTCAAAACATTATGATGATAGTTTCAAAACATTTGTTCATGCCTGAACTCCCAATAAATCTGTGGAAAGTATAATACTGTGCAGGTAAATAGAATTCTACATGCAGTGAAGACAGCTACCTAATTTCTTACTATCAAGGAATACCAAGCCCCAGAACAGCAGAAGTAGAATGTTCTGAAGACAAGCAAATTGCAACTGCATGTTACAGACAGGTAGAGACTACATTGCGAGGTATTCTTTTCATGGACCTCATTGTGTCTGCTTCCATGAGCATGAGTCAGTACTAGCAATCAGCATTTATTGAAGGCTTGTTCTATCCAAGTCCTAGACACTATGCCATCTGGCCATAAATGAGGTGAAAGTACGTCAGACAGAAACGCTTCTTCAGGAAACTGGGATTTAAGGTGTCCATACAGGACATGAACTGAGTCAACAACCTCATCTTCCTCTGGAGGTAAATGCTTGCCAATGCCGCAGGGAAGTCTAGAGCAGGTGTATCTGGCCATCAGCCCTAAGGGAGTTCCCTGATGCTCCTCACTTACCAAGTCCTCTCCTTGGAGTAAGGAAGCAAAGCTGGTATATACAGGACACACAGGGGAGAGGGTGTGCTTCAAAGGCAACCACTTTGGGACCCATCAGAGCTCAGTTTGAGTCAGCTTTACCACCAACATGCAAATTAACTCCTCTGAGACTCACTTTTCTCCTCTGTGAGAATTCGAATGCCTACCGCCTGAGGCTGAGGCATTTCCACACAAAGTCTGTAGCATTTATGGCCTGTACTTCGCATTAGACACCTATCTGTTATGATTGATTTCTCTTTTGTGTATCCATCTGAGGCTTCTTGACTAAATTATGAGTTTCCCAGCTGAGAATCTGACACAGATGAGAATCTTCTGTCTTCCTGCAGGAAATGGTTATGGTTGACGATGATGACAGTGTTGTTTATTTCAGCAAGTCTGGATGTGAAAGAAATGACCCTTTCTTCTTGGCAAAGAGAGAAAACCAACCTGTGATATAGACTGACATCTGGGCCTATCAGAAGGCCCTACCGTGTGCACAGACCTTCAGTCAGGACAAGGGGCCAATGAGAGTCTTGTGCTCTTAGATGAAATTGTCCGTGCTGTCCCCCTCGCGCGCGCGCGCGTGTGTGTGTGTGTGTGTGTGTGTGTGTGTGTGTTTGCTAGACCCACTGATAAGTATTTGGACATATAAGTTCTAAACCAAAGTTCAACTTTGATATAAGAAACCTGCAAGTTAGGATGGCATCATGTGAAATAATAGTAAACTAGGGTGTCAGGAAACCTGGGTCCCCTCTAAGCTCTGCCTCTAACAGGCTTTGTAATTGTTGCAAACTACTGA